ACGGATATATAATTGCATAACAAATGTATACACAAGTGAACGTTGAAACGCATAAGAATAACTTTGTCGTTTGAGGTAAATGCGTAACACAACTATTATTATTACGATGGTATCAGAATAATAATACATATACGTCATGGATCCCTAGTAAAACCCGCTTGAAAAGTCTGAATAACGAATTTTTTTCGCATTTCTCCTCTCGTCTTTCTCATTTATGTATTATTTTCAAGTTCGTTTATGTCATTTTTTTTTTTTTTTTTTTTTTTTTTTTTTTTTTGTAATTTAATTTAATGTAATTTAATTAAAATAATTCTTTATTATTGTAATATAATTTATGTAAAGCCGTTTTTTAACTCAAGCGAATAAATAAGCTTTGATATGTATGCTGGAGTTGCGCTCGTTTTTGTCATACTTCTTTCACTGATTATTGCTATGTGTGAACGTTCGCATATTACATGTATGTGTATGTTGCACATACACATCTTCGCTGTGGGGTGTTTGTTAAGATTGAATGTATTTTTCACAAATAACACAACCACTTAAAATAATTGGAAATTTCTGCACAGTCAGGGCAATGGAGGAAAATGTGAAAATCCTGTGCATACATCTAAAGGAAACAATATTCGCAAAAAAAAAAAAAAAAAAAATTTGCGAATGACAAAATCATAAAAATTTTGTTAGTTTTCTACGATTTTTAATTTTTTTTTATTAAAGCAAGAATTTTGCGAAACCACCTTATGAGTGCGTTGGCTTATCGAAAAAGTTGTCTGGCATTCTCTAAACGCAGCCACTAAGTGAATATGAAAACTTTTAACATTGGAAGATATGTTGCCTCTTGGTTTTTACACTTGTGGAACAAAATACATTAAGTTGGTGTGGATGTAAGCAATACCCAAAATGACTTGAGGTAGTCCTATCTTTTGTCTGTCCGTCTATCCGTCTAATGTCTGGCCGATGTAATCTTGTTTTTCAACTACAAGTCACTATTTTCGAGACATTCGGATAAAATGGGTTGCACCGACGTACTTAACCCCAAAAAGGAAGCCATTCGAAAACGGCTTGAATCGGAACAATGTTTCGACCGTATTTTGACAAGTCGTTATACCAAAAAAAATTTGTAATTTTAAGAATTTTCATAGCAACAATCGCTTAGTAATAGTATTTCGTCATTCCTAATTGGTGTGAGAACTTTGGATCAGGTGGGGCAATTTTTTGAACCGCGCTATTACGAAAACTAAATCTTTATAAAGAGGCTCAATTTTCAATACTATCTTGATGAAAATTCGTTCATAGTTCACAATTTGACATGGCGATTACTCTTACCGAATTTGGGCCACGTAGGTTATTTTTTGGATCACATTGCATATAAGGATTTCAATGAAACATAAGGCTCTCTATACTGAGGAGGTTTAATTTTTAATATTTTATGACGAAAATTTTTTCATAAAAAATCAACCGTGGGGGACTTGGTTCACATAGGTCTAGTTTTTAGAACGCAGCGTATTTATAGGCTCTTATGAAAGTGAACTCTTCTGGCGAGAAATTCTAATTTGCGATTTATTACGACGGAAACAATTGAAAAGTAATAAAATCTTTGACAAATAAATTAAGTTTTCTAAATTTGGACCGCGTTGACGTTCAAGTATTCTCCAATATGAAAGATTTCATCAAAATTATACATTTGCACAAAAATAATGTATAATTTTTGGTTTATTATTAATTAAGCGAGGGGTTATAGGGTATCTAATTATCGGACTTGCCCGATTATAGCAATCTTACTTGTTAAAATTATTTTCCATTTCGTTACGATGGAGAACCAGATTAATTCACGATGATAACTACATACGCCCGAAACCTCCTCCCTCTCCGTACTTGAGTTTTCGCTGTTTCTCCAGACCTCTTTGGAGGCGTGTTGCAAACAACCCTCCACAAAGTATGGACCATGCCTTCTGAAAACAAAGTGACATGTCGCTTTGTTTGTCCCTTGTTTTGAGCCTTTGGTTTCGCAATCTGCAGCATTGTTGTAAACGATTTCAGTTGAAATGCGATTGCATTTGTGTAACCATTTACTGTTTTAAAGCACTTTAGATAGTGAGCATTGTGAGCCACGTTGGTTATGTTGAATATACAAAAGTTTGATCTTCATAGATCAATTTAGGCTGACATAAATGATTAGGAAAATATATTTTAATAATAAAACATAAGCATATCTCTCATCGCTAAATAAGGACGATATATAAATGAAACCCGTGTGGATGATGCTAATGTGATCTTGTCAAATATAAAGTAGGAAAGCCCCAAAGCAATTGAAGTTTGAGGCCAAAGCGATTAAAACTCCTCTTCGAACGATAGTTTCTTGGAAACATTTTCGAAAGCTTTATGGGGAAATTTCAAAGGTGTCGTTATGCTGAAGGGTTATACCTTATGGTCAGTTGCTATTTTAGTAACGTTCGCAAGTGATAGTCTCGATGTATTAGAACAGCTCGTGATGTGTTAAAGCCACTTGGACAAGGAGCTACAATGAATACATTTGGCTTTGCTGTCGACAATTATCGTGCGCCCGGTCTGACGATAATATTTTGAGCATAGCAAGTAATAGCTATCTTACAAGTAACACTCTTTTCTATCGAAATTTAATTTGAAATTAAATAATACATCCAATGTGTTATACGAGGAAGTTTAAGTAAACCAGATAACCGAGTCCGAAATGGTTAGAAAAATGTTTCCTTCACTGTTGTGTTACAATCATTTGGTTGGAAAACTCAAAAGTGAAACGAAAATAGTATAAGAAAATTTTTACGAGTCCATACGAATATAATTTAATATGAGAGCGCGCACACACATAGGAACGATAGATACTTATGGCATTAACAAAACTAATTCCATGCTGCACTAATATAAATATAGGATGGCTTCGCTTAACTAAAACACATTCTACGCTAGCTAAGCTTTTATGAAATTTCACATTTTCTTAACCTTGGGGCGTTCAAAACCGTTTATGCAAAAATACGCTTAACGCTGAAGTTAACAAATGAGAGGAGACAACGCTACAAGCTATTAAAAGCGCATTGCAGATATATTCGTGGATAAAGGATTTATTCTCAATACAGCATAGATTTTAATTCCGAAATTTATGCAGTAAATGTTTTTTCACATAAAACTATTTTCCACTAATCTATGTATATATATACATGTATGTATGTAAACACACACTTTCCTATAAACTTTCCGTGTAACATGTTTGCGTGTCAGCAGAAATCTCTCAATCGATATTTCGGATGCTGTCCGTATGTCCGATTATTTTGCTTATACATTTTTTTTTCGCGGACATTGCACACTTTCTGAATGATGGATGCGTTCTTAGCAATTCTTTTGATATAGGTGTCGAATAAAAGGATCTGGAGAGTGTAGAATACGATTAAATCTCGTTGTTATTGTATATTAAACAAGGCAGGCGCCACAAAGTAGCTTGCCAGCACATGTTCCCTTTCTTATGGATAAATGAAAAGACTTGGAAAGTAGCAAACAAACTTTAATGGAATGACAAAAGGGTATCAAATAAATTGAATAAAAAAGAAGGGGGCGGGGGGAGCTTTTATTATAATGAAATAAACGACTGAAAGTAAGTTTGTACCTAGAGACGGCTACACAAAAAAGCTTGGAGCATTTAGAAAAATTCGAATTTAAAATTCGAAACTCCATAAACTCCATAAATAACTCTGAAAAAAGATTTATTTTCCACCGCTTAGCCGCTTTAAAGAAAAAACCTTATTTTAAGAATTACTTTTTTTTTAAACCCATCACTGAAGGACTGTTAATAGAAAAGGCGTGGAAGGGAGGGGGGGTTTACACTCATTTTGTTGTTTTTATAATGCAAATAACACCCAAAAGGTTGCTTCAAAGTATATCAGCGTGAAATTCCGAGTTGGTTTGGCTGCGTCTGTCCGTCTGCGTGCCTGGGCCAGCATTTTCCTGGTCGCTAAAATGAAGATATCGAATTCAAATTTGGATTGAAAATGGGCCAAACTGTTTAGCGCAGAAGCTCGCACTGAAGCATAAACTGACCACAACTCCGTTTTTCTTAACGGAAATTTGTGAAATTTTGCTCGCCACCCAGAAAATATATTATAAAAGTTAGAAGGATGAAATTTTCCAAATTTACTTTACTCTTCATATGCAAAAAAGGGGAAAAATCGACCATGCTCACGCAAACTTACAAGAGATTAAATTTTATTTTTTCACTTTTTTGAGGTTTTCCCCTTGTTATCATTTTCTCAAATGAAAATGGGTTAATTCTAAAATGAATATGGTAGACACGGCGACCTGGCGGTTTAATATTTTCTTAATGATGCCAGAGATATGAGTACGGGCGTCAAATTAAAAAACTTGGAGAGTTCAAGGCGAAAAGCATAGTAGTGGGTATGCGTGATTCGTTCCCCGCTAAATGTAACTTTTTTATTGGTTTTTTTTTTTTTATTTGTATTGGAAAATTTCACCCATCTCAATATAATAAAAAAAAAATAAAAAAAATACTAATAAATGGAATCTAATCAAAGATTTAAAATACTTTGTTTGCAGTAGCCCGCAGCGCATAGGAAAGTAAACGATTTTATCGTTCACATAGAATTTGTATATATTTTATTACTTCCAGTTCATGGAAAATTTAGAAATTTATTACGCCTCACTATTCTCATGGAAAATTTTTTTTTTTACAATTTTTACCAAAATAAACCTATGGTTGAGACCGATAGCGAAGCGTTATACTTATGCATTCAAACACATTTGTGAACTCTATATGGAATTCGAAATGCTGTTGTCGTAAATTTCGCTTTGGCCGCGTAGCTACGTTTGCCCAATAAGGGCACTCAGACCAAATGTCTTCTAAAGGATGAGTTAAGAAATGAAGTTTACGATCAAAAGTATCTTAAAAATTCCTTCGCATCTTATCTGTTACTTTCTCTTCATTTTTGAAAACGCTTTCTTTTACTTCCGTTTCGTAGGTTTCCGCCGGGCAACATTTACATCTAAGCGGCGACATGAAGAGTAACGTTTCAGTGGCTGCACAACAAGGTGTATTTTTCAATCAGCAGCAGCAGCAGCAACAGCAACAACAACAGCAGCAGCAACAGCAGCAAAATACTCAAAGCCAACAGCAAACGTCCGGTAATAGCGGAGGTGGGCCTACCTTAAATTCTCAGCAGCATTCGCAGCCGCCACAACCACAACAGCAATCTAATCAAAATTTGAACAGTAACGGTAAGCTGGCCGTATTTTCCTCAAATATATTTATTTGTTTACTTCATTTTTGTTACAAATAGGTGCCTCCGATGGTTTTTCAATGTCACAATCGCAAACAATGAACTTCAGTCAAGCGCAACAGCAGGCACAGAACTCAAATCCTCAGCAATCGCAAGGGGGTCCAGGGGCGAGTCAACAGCAGCAACAGCCACAACAACAAGTACCACCCAATATGCGTCAGAGACAAAATCAAAATCAGCAACAACAGGCTCAACAAGCCCAACAGGCAGCTGCGGTAGCAGCAGCTGCAGCGGCGGCAGCTCAATCGGCAGCCAATGGTAGTGGCTCAATTTCTGGATCGGTGGGCTCAAATAATGGTCCGAGCAATATAGTGGTCGGAGGTCCAAATAATACCGGCATAATGAATGCTCCGCAATTAGGCGGTGGTCCCAATACAGCCGGTCCAACCGCACCGAACAATAATGGGTCTATTGTTAACATGGGAGGGCCTGGTGTCAATGGTCCAGGACAAATGGGTCCCGGTGGTCCTATGGGAAGTAATGGTATGCCCGGCATGGGAGCAAGTCCCCAACAAATGATGTCCGCTGCCGGCATGAATCCAAATATGGGTGCTGGTCCAAACTCCGGTATGATGATGGGCGGTCCCGGTCCAAATGGACCATCCATGAGTATGAACCAAGCCAAATTCCTGCAACAACAACAACAAATGATGCGCGCTCAGGTAATGCAACAACAGCACGGTATGTCGGCTGCGCGGCCACCACCACCCGAATACAAAGCTACTCAAGCACAACTCATGCAAGCGCAAATGATGCAACAAACAGTGGGAGCAGGTGGCGCCCGTTTTCCCAATGCTGCCCAGGCGGCGGCAATGCGGCGTATGACTCAACAACCAATACCGCCTTCAGGTGACAATTTTATTTTTCTAAGCATTTTCTAAAATTAATTTGTTTGAAAACTTTTAGGACCTATGATGCGTCCTCAATATTCTATGCACATGCAACATTCCGCGGCGGCTGGTGGGCCAAGAACGGCTTTGGGCCCCTATGGCGGTCCTATAGGACCAGCTGGTCCTCAACAAAGGCCTCCTAATGTACAAGTAGCACCCGACGGAATGCCTATGGGTTCGCAGCAAGAATGGCGACACATGATGATGCAGCAGCAACAGCAGCAGATGGGCTTCGGGGGCGGTCCCGGGTCTGTTGGACCGATGAGACAGGGCCCCGGTAGCTTTAATGGGGGAGGTAAACGCGAAGCTTGACTACTTAAGAGAATATATTAAATTTTATTTTTCGATATAGGATTTATCTCAAATAACCCAGGCGGACCTATAGTACCCAACGGACCAAACGGCCCTGGTAATGGCATGGGCGGTGGTTCAAATCCAGGCATGCAAATGACAGCTACTCAAATGCAACAGCAAATGATACGTCAACAACAAATGCAAACGCAACAAATGATGGGCGGCCCCAACCCATCCGCTGCCGCTGCCAATAGCATGCAAATTCAAATGATGCAACAACAGCATCAGCCACCACAACCTAACGGTCCAGGCGGTGGCCCCGGTGCCGGACCGAACGGCATGATGGCGCAAATGCAAATGGCGAGCATGCATATGTCACAAACACAGCAACAGATCACGATGCAACAGCAACAATTTGTGCAACAAACTACGACCACTACAACACATCAGCAACAACAAATGTTGCAAATGCAAACACAGGGTCCCGGTAATGGCGTCGGTGGCGGCCCTGTAAATGGCCCGAACAGTACCAACACTCTTGTAGCCGCATCTGCCTCGGTCTCAACAGCTACCGCTGTAGCCACTTCGAGCACTGCCAATAATAATATCAATCAGACCATTAATTCGGTGGTGGCCAACTCAAATGATTTATGCCTCGAGTTTTTCGATAATCTACCAGATGGTAGCAACTTCTCTACCCAGGATCTAATCAATTCACTGGATAATGATAACTTTAACATTCAGGATATATTGCAATAAATATTCTGCTGAGCTCGTGCGAAACGAAAAGGTAATGAAAACATATTATCGTGTAGTGGAGTCAGGGAAATTGTTATTTGCGTTGTTTGTTGTAGTTGACATAATTAATTTACTGAGGTATATAAAGTAGAGAATTTAATTCTCTCTTTGCTTGGTTGTTGAATAATTTTATTTAAAAATCAAATTTGTTCGACTTTTTCTGAAAAAACAAAAACAAAAATTCTTTTCAAACTTTCAGCTTTCAAACATTTCAGAACATTCCATTTTATTTTCATTAACAAGTTTTTCATCTTTGCGGCAATGATTTTCCAAAAAACCTTTTAAAGGCAATTCCATCCTGTACCCGGTTAGAGAAAGTGAAATAATATGCCGTTAATATACGAGATATGTAAAATCTCATAAAAATTATTGAATGCATCTCAATGTTCTTTCAATAATTCTTCTCTGGACGTTAAACGTTTGACTGCACTCAATATTAAAGATAATCCCTAGGTTTGAATACTCCATACAAGTTCCTGCAAACATATAGTCGCTTCTATTGTGTGATTTTTGCTCACCGCTACCTTCCTTTTTCTTTTATTTTTTTCCTTCCTTGACCATTTTTCTCTTGCCTTCCTTACCTTCCGTCTTTTCTTTTAAATTTCTCCTCTACTTATCACCAAACTTAGGGTCAAACTTCTTACCATTCACTTTAATAGGGTGAGCAAACGTGCCCTCGCTTGAAGTCCGGCACGTATAATACTTTCTGAAGCTGTCACTATTGTTAGAATAGGAATGGACAGGCTCTAACAGCTTAAGTCGCATGAACTTCAGTCGTTGGATTGTTGGATATTGCCTGCCTAACAAATGGAACAGGTAAAGGCGGTTATGATAGTAATATCAGACGGGATCGTTATTGAAATATTCGCTTATGGGTCGTTGTTCTCTGAGGCTGCTACCGTGACTTGGGTAGAAGAAGGTGGTGTCGGCAAATCCGTTTTTAAGGACATTGCGGCAATAAGCTCTGACGTAACAATTCTTATCGAAGTTGATGTTAATGGAGATAATACATTTCCCGAAGCGCTAAATATTTCCTTCCCTCGATTTTATAATAATTTGACACCTATTGAAAAATGGAAGGTCTGCCTTTCTGTTCTAGAATAGAAAATTCAAGGCGTCCTCTTCTTTTTTATAGTCCACTCAAACTATTATCTCTTTTTGCTTATATCATTTTCGGAGACACTTCGGTTTATGTTTTAGTTTTATTTGAGTTTATCGATGACGTTCAATATTTAACGAACATATAATAACTCGATGTCCCTAAAAAAGATCAACTCTTCGCCTCGTTGCCCGATGCTTTGGATGTCGAACTTGAAATATCTTTTCCTCTATTCATTTCTTCTTCTTCTTCTTCTATTTTTGGTCTTGTTCTCTATTCTGTTTTCTCATAACCGATATTGCAGCTATGAGCAATATTTTCTTACCGATGTGTGTACTTAAGTTGTGAAAATAAAAATAATACATTTGATATTTTTTAAATAAAATTATTAACAACAAACGGAAAAAATTATATATTTTGTAATTTTTATATAAAAAAAAACAAACAGTATATTTTAAGTTTTGTAAATTTTTTTCCGAAATGTTAGATATGTAAAAATTCCTAACATATGCACTTAACAAAAAAAAAAAAAAAAAATAATAATCATTGGTGATATTTGTTATTCTTTGTACTTTTTGTATATGTTTTTTAAAATAAACTTAAAAAAAAAAAATGATTGAAAACACAGAAATTTACTTTATTTAAAAAATAAATAAAATAAATTCTAAATAAAGGAAAAAAACAAACCTGAAAAAAAATGGTGGAAGGGAGAGACCTGCACCAAAAGCCACATTCATATACACCTTGGTTTCCTTCACGTCCCTTAAAGGCTCAAGAAACATACATACAAGTAGAGTTTATCCACTGCATGTTATAATGAGAATAATAATTTAGTCAAGCGAAAATTGATATAAAATAAAATGAAAAGAAAAAAAGTCATATACATGTGGTAGTTGAAAAGGTGCTTTAACTCATACCGGCCCCAACATGTTGTATATTCCCAATTCTCTGGACATTCATAAGATATCAATTGACTGACAGATAGACATGATTACACTGAAACTCCCTACAAATGTACCTTGTAAGGTTGAGGATAAAATCTTATAAAATCAATTGAAACTAAGTGAAAATTTGAAATGAAAGAAAAATGACAAAACATTAAAAAATCAAATGTAAAAATATGTAAGGGAAAGCAAAGAAGATAAAATTGAAAAAAAAAAAAAAATGGAATATTTAACAGAGATAGAAAAAAAATTGAAAATTTAATAAAGATAGAAAAAAAAAATAAATAAATAAATAACTAAATAAAAACAAAGAGAAAAGGCAATTATTTAACAACAACAGCAACAAAAAAGGAACATTTGTAGTTTTGTAGAAAATTATTATTTTTTATACAGTCTGTAAGAACACACTTAATATACACTCACCTATATACATATATGCGTAGTTATAGCGTACATAATCCAATATACGTATTTATACATGAAATTTTAATTAAATGCGAAATAATTGAACTAGTGAAAATAAAAAAAGGAAATAAAAAATAATAATTTTTTTTTTTTTTTTTTTTTGTACAATATTAACACAAAAGGGAGTTAATAGTAATAAGTAAAAAAAAAAAAAAAAAAGGAAAACAAAATGGAAATTGAAATAAAGAAACGAAAGTTTTGAACACACATAACATACATATTGGCCATAACTTCACATTCGCGTCTTTTTAAAAAGCCAAGCCTCGTCGCTAAGTTAATTAACAAGAAATAAGAAATTTTAAATAATTTTTAAAACGCATTCTCTTTTGTGTTTTTATAACGAAATAGGCGATTAATTAAAAAGAAAAATTTAAAATTTACAAAACTCTTTAAAACGATACTAAAAGTGTCATGGAACGATTAAATTGTAATTTGTGGAACCAGATTATATAAGAGATAAATAATAATAATAATAATATGAAAAATTATGAAAATAATTCCAATAATGATAACAATAATAATAGTAATAATTTTAAATAAAATAAAAAATAAATAACCTTAAGGCAATAACTAAACTAATAATAATAATAATTGTATTAATCATAATGATTAATGAGCAAAACCATGATTAAGCAAAATCAGAAGCAAAAAAAAAAAATCAAATTTTTTAAAAAAATATTTATTAAAAACATGAAAAACCCCACATAATAGGTAATGGCTTAACTTATCGTAGAAAAGCTAAATTATACACAAAAAAGAAAAACATTTGCATAAAAAATCAAAAACGAAAAAAAAATTTATATAATAAATAAAAATTATTATTAAAAAATTATACTAAAAATATGGTAGATTTTTTTAAGGTTGTTAACATACTTATATAAAACAAGAACCAGAGCCATGATTAATTTGCCCTCCATAAGCCACGAAATACATAAAACAGATTTTTTTAAAAATTTTGTAATTTTTTTTTTTTTTTTTTCTTAATAAAGCGAACAAAAGCGATCACATTATTGATAATTTCAGAAAACAGAATAACGTATATATACATATATATATATATATATTTTTTTTTTTTAATTTAAGAAACACAATTATATAATAATAAAATAAAATTAAATATTTAAGATAACTAAAAATAAACAGTAAATTATTCTAAAATTTCTAAAATTAGCGGAAAAAAAAGAAAAGAACAGTAAAAAATTTTAAGGAACACAGCAAATGAAAAAAGAGGACAAAAACCATTAAAAATTCCATTAAAAACTTAACAATATAAATTTGTAAGTATATCAGCGAAACTAAATCGTAGGAAAGGGAAAATATTTTCAAACAAAAAAAAAAAAAAAAAAAAAAAAAAGTATTGCAACAAATATACATTAAACTTAAGTAAACCACATAAATATACTCCGTATTACATATTAATTGTATGTATTTATAGAAATTGTTAATATAAACATCAATTATTAATTAAATTATGTAGCATCGATATATTTTACAAGCAAAACAGGAAAAAATAATAAACAAAAAAAAAAAAAAACGGATAAAGGCATCATTTATTTTATGTATGTATAAATTTTTTATGTAAATTGATATTTTTTGATTTTTTGTTTTTATTTTTTATTCATTATTATTGCATAAATTTTAAACAGAATTGTTTTGTTGGTGTCATTTTTTATTTTTCCCTATCTTTTAATTGTAAATCCTTTTTTAAAAAATTTTATCAGAAAATTAATAATAAAACTCAAAATAGTAAAATATTACTTTTTTTGTAAATAAAAAAAAAAAAAAAAAAAAAAAAAAAAAATAAATTTTTTATTCAGAAAACTTAAGTAAATCCTATTAAGACAAGAACAAATCCCTTATACTCGGCCGGGTAAAATTAATAACACTGGACTTCAGCTGCAACTTCCGTTGCATCCATAAGTTTTGCTTGGATACAAGAATGTTTAATTGGACGTGAAGTCACCGCTAAGCAAACGTGACTCTAATTATGTAGTTAGTCAACTATATTTAGTGCATCCGCCTAAGGGTCGTTTGTTGGATATCTCTGCAATTTTACTTAAATTACGTTTTGCCCGTTTTAAGCCAGATGAGACGCAAAGTGTTAAGAAAAATGCTGACGAAAGTTGAAAATTTTGAAACAAATTATTTTTAAAAGTTGGATCACTGCAGTTTGGCGTAGAGAAAATTAATGATGGTCCGTGTCCCGTTGTAGCGCTTTTACTTGCTCCATTTTGCTAAACGCAGCAGTTAAGCAACCAAGTGTTATTTAATTTTACTTTAGATTTAGAAAATAAAAACAAATAAACGCTTCAGCTGAGGAACGAGGAAGTATTGAAAAAATATGCTGGTAATAGTCTTCGACGGCGGCTGAACCTTTTAATTTTTAGTACATAAATAGCTTCTTATTTACTATGTTTTTATACCCGTCACCGAAGAATTTATTCTGATCAGCATCAAATTCTTTCAGGGACAATATCCGTCTGTCTATCTTTTTGCCTGTCCATCTGTATAAATATTAACCACTTCTTACGCTTGAGACTTGAATAAATGTTTGCGAAGAATACATTCAGATGTAATATGTGTACTTACAAATAAATGTAATGAAAACATTTCCACATAAGAGCATTAAAGTAACTTTTCTAACTAAAAGTCAAGAAGTATATTTATAATACAATGATGTCATCAAACTAAAAACCGAACAAAAAATTGTCGAATTAAAGATTGAATCAAAATTTAAGTGAACGGATTTGTGGGATTTCCATCAAATAGTATCATTTGGTGAAAGGAACTATGGAGGATTATAAAAAATATTTTATTACCAAATATCATAACTTATGTAATATAATGGATCGTCAAACTGTTGGTACCGCAACGACAATGCTTTATGTTTTCATATAAAATTTCTTAATTTCTTCAATTTTACAAGTTAGTTTAAAACTAGACCGCAATAATTTTTATTATTAAATTAAAGAAAGCCTTCGCTGAATTCCCTGTTAAAAGGCAAAGCACAGAGTTGCTTGTAAAAAATAGTCAAAAAATGGCAGCTCTGTTAAATGGTTAACAACTTAAATGGTAACGCCATTCAACTTAACAGAAGATAAAGGTCCAACTCTGTTAAAGTGCAAAGCCGTCGTGAAAGTAGTGAAAACTTTAGGATATTTAGTATCTAATGTTTCCTTATATTTTATTAATAAATCTATGTTTCCATATAAAATTTCTTAATTTCTTCAATTTTACAAGTTATCCTTTATTTAGTATCTAATTTCTTTCAATCACTTGCCAACATAGATTTGCAGATGGTATTTTGATCATAATTCGTGCAAGTGCGGTTAGTAGTCATTTGTAGAAGGTATTGGTGTGGATTTAAGATGTTTGCAGACAGTAATGGTTCGGTTATTAGCTGTTTTTAGACCGTATTGATTTGTTTATTAGCTGTTTGTAGAAACTAATGCTTTATGTGAAATTCAAAGCAAAAGCAATCATTCAATCATTCTTTTATATATATTTTATTTTTATATACATTTATTTAATATAAAATGAAAATAATTTTTCTAATCTTTTACTTGAACTTTATACTTCTTGAATTGGATATTTTCTCGAGGTAATTGAATAATCAATATTTTCTAAGTGCATGTTAGATGTTAATTCAACTACAACCTTATTATTTAGATCAATTTAGTATACCTTGATTTCATTCATGATAAAGCCCTAGCAATAAAATAATAATGAAAATAGTAGAGGAAATAGTTCAGTAAAGAAGGTTTGACGTTTTTATATATAATAATAACAATAATAGGTAAAACATTTCTACATCAAAAATTAAAAAAAATAATTGTAATTAAAAAAAATCATAGAGACAAGGGGCTTCGAAAAGAAGATTTAGGATCGAAGCCACATTATTAATTAAATTATTAGGAAGAAGTGCAGATTGTTGTCTTTGAAATGTTACGAATCATCTTTGGAAGATTTAAAGCCGAATGCCCGACGTGGGTCTGTTTACATTCAAATTGCTTTGAATTGTCTTGAGTAGGAGCCCATTCACTTAATTCGATGTCGCTTCCCACATTGCATCCATTGAGCGTAAAGGGCAAATTGGTAAAGAGCAAAGGGCTGAACAAGCAAAGCGGAGGCATCTACAATCAGGCCAACCGCCAATTGGCCACCAACTTTGTTAAAGTTCAAGTAAAGAACATGTGTTTAGGTATATGTTATCAATAATTTGTATAAAAATGCCAACCATCTGAGAATAAGCGTATATGTTTGTTTACATTTTTCAATAATTGAACATGTATTTGTATAATCTAATGGCGCTTTAGAGAATAAGCGTATAATCTAACCGCGCTTTAGAGAAAATAGCTTATATGTTCTCAGTAATTTGTATAAAAATTCCAAACGATATTATAAATTTTACCTGAGGATCCTTATCATCCATCAATATGCATTTCCTTTCATCATATTAATGATGGTTTGTTGAAATGCCTTAATGTGCCAAATCAAACTTTTTTAAATAATTATTATGATTTTCATAAAATCAATATTGTATTACTAAAACATCGTCTTTCACATCTGACGCTTGATTTCTCAACCGGTAGTATTGAAAGCTTATTGCCATCGTTCTACAATACATTAAATCTGGCTATTGCTGCATCTGTTCCGATCAAGCATTGTCGACCTCGAAGCAGATGTCCCCCGTGGTTTAATAAGACAATTAAATATCACAAGAATAGAAAAAACTCGCTATTCAAAAAATATTCGAAAAGTGGCTCTGCGCTCGACTATGTCGGTTACTCGGTGGCGAGGCATAGATTTAACTCCCTCAACCATCATTATTACTGCAGATACCTTCAGTTCATTAAATCCTCTCTGTTTGCTAATCCTAAATTCTTCTTTAAATTTGTTAATTCTAAAAGAAAAATTTCCACATATCCCTCTCATGTTTCTTTTAAGGGCTCTGATTCCTCGGATGATTTTGAAATCTCAAATCTATTTGCTGAGTATTTCCGACGAAACTTTTCGATTGCTAATTTCGATTTATCAGCAAACTATCCATATCCTATAACTAACTCGGTTTCAATACCTAACTTGGTTATTTCGGAAGATGATGTTTTCAAAGGGTTGAGTTCTCTAAAATACAGTTGTTCGCCTGGACCTGATGGAATTCCATCATGTGTACTTAAATCTTGCGCTGTCGAGTTGTGTGGTGTGATCTCAAAGATTTTTAACATGTCCTTGTATTCAGGTGGTTTCCCTTCATGTTGCAAGAGTAGTTTCCTTATTCCTATCCACAAGAGTGGAAGTAGACGATTTGTTGAGAACTACAGAGGCATAGCCAAGTTGAGTGTCTTGCCCAAGTTGTTCGAGCGTATTGTGACTCAGCATTTGGCCTTTGCCATTAATTCGTATACTTCTCCGCACCAGCACCAGCAGGCTTTCGGAAAGGGCGATCTACAGTCATCAACTTATTAGAGTTTACCTGTCATGTGTTCAAGGCTTTTTCTAGTGGCTCTCGCACAGATGTTATTTACACTGATTTAAGCAAAGCATTTGATATGGTTAACCATAGACTACTTATCTTTAAACTCCAAGCCTCTGGTTTCCCACCTTACTTAGTGAAATGGATAAGCTCTTATCTGCACAATAGATCCTTCAGAGTTTTGTTTAACTCCATTAGCTCGGTTGAATTCCCAGTTACGTCTGGCGTACCTCAAGGAAGTCACTTAAGTCCCATTTTATTTAGTTTATACATTAACGATCTCCCATCGGTGGTTAATTCCAGCCAGATCTTAATGTATGCTGATAATGTGAAACTGTTTTCTTCCTTCTCTGTTGAATCGCAATCACATCAGCTTCAAGGCGATTTGGATAATTTTGTTGCATGGTGCTCTTTGAATCTCCTGAAACTAAATCTGAGTAAATGAGTAAAGCTTTCATTCTCAAGAAGAAAGTCATTCATTACTCAGTATTTCATACATTCGCATAAGTTGGAGGACGTCGATTCGATTACAGATTTAGGCGTTCTATTTGACCATAGGTTACGTTTTAACTTGCATATTGAGCTCTCGATTAGCAAAGCTAGGTCCGCGCTTGGTTTTATAAAAAGGTGGTCCAAAGAGTTTGATGATCTCTACATTACGAAAAGGCAGTACATGTGTTTGGTTAGACCCATACTCGAGTATGCCTCAGTTGTGTGGTCTCCTTCATATAGGTGCTACGTAGATTCAATTGAATCTGTTCAAAAGCAATTCTTGCTGTTTGCCCTTAGAAATTTGGGTTGGGATCCGATTGCCTCTCTTCCTCCGTATGAAAATAGGTTGTTTCTGCTGTCCCTACCGTCTTTTGAGAAACGTAGATTTGTTCTTGGCGTTTCCTTTCTAATTAAAGTAATAAATGGTGCTATTGACTCGCCTTCATTACTTGGTGAAATAAGCTTTAGTGTCCCTAACCGCTTCTCTAGGCACTTTATCTTGGTTAAGCTTAATCAGTGTAAATTTAATTATGAGCTGTTCAATCCGCTCAGAGTCGTTTGCAAGAATCTAAATGACGTCTACCACTTATTCTCATTATTGGACTCTTTAAAGTCCATTAAAGCAACATTGCTTAATACGCGCGATTTACCTATGTCATATTTAAACTAGCTTTTATCCTTAAAAAGTCGTTACGTTTCGAAAGTGAATTATGATCAATTTATTATCGGTTGCCAGGCTTATGCATGTTTGCGATGGCTTAGGGGTTCATTTGCCATTTGGCCCTGTACAGGTTGTAAGTGTGTCCCTATGCTGATAGTGTACATGCTTTTTTTTCTTTTTTTTCTTCTTATTTGTTTTATTGTACTTATACTAAATTTTATTATTAATTAATATAAGTTTTGCATTAAGAGCCAATTGAACTCGACTGTTATTTGTTTAGTTGGGTTTCTAGTATAGGTGGAATAAAATAAATAAAATAAATAAATAAAATAACGGAACAAATCAGGAGGTTATGAACAAAAGTGGTTATATGAAAGAGCATGTCCGTGTTTTTATCGCCTTTGGTTTTTATATTGATCAGTTTGTATTAAAATCAGATGTATATATTTTAGTTATATTATTTATTACCCCATTTATTTATAATATGTATTTATCCCATTCTGTTTAGCAATTCGTACGTTTTATTAATATATTTTTTGCTTTTATTTTTAAACATAAATTGTTTTTTTTTTTAAACTTAAATTTTATTATAAATATAAAACGAACAACTTGTGGTGTTAATCACGTAGATCATGTGATCTTGTTTATATACCCACGGCATTTAACTCCAATTCAGCAAATTCCATATTCAATAAAATGTCTAACTTATGATAAACTCTTAGAAAGCGAGAGTTGGCAACTCTTGCTGCACATGCTTGCTGTTGTTTATTTACATATAAAAATTATTTTTCGTTTCATAATTTTTTAAAGTTGGGCTTAAAAATGAAATTTTTTATGCCTGACTTCGACAAAAGTTTGGAAACCATAAGGTTTATGCCTACCGCTGTGCCTGACACGAATTCAACGAGCGTTAAGAATAAGAAGGTAAAGAAAAAGAAGGAAAACTCGAAAAAGTTGAAAGAAGATGAAAGTTCTTCAACAAACGAAAGTACCAAGAAAGTTACAAAATCGCCTAAACTTCTACAAGGCCGTGTTGAGAAACCTAAGAATAAAAAATCAATCAAAGCGCAACAATTAAAATTATCGAAAGCTACTGTGGAAAAAGCAGTTAGCGAAAGCTCGAAAAAGACTAACAGCGAGCAAGACTCCATCTCGGCCTTTGCCGCAAAAGTTAAGGAGCAATTAAAAGGCGGTCGTTTTCGTTTTATCAACGAACAATTGTACACTATGAGTAGTCGAAAAGCTGCCAAGATATTTGAGGAAGATCCGGAAACTTTTTACGCCTATCATGAAGGCTATCGACATCAAATAGCGAAATGGCCTGTAAATCCATTAAAGCGCATTATTAAAATGATAAACCGTTTACCCAAGTCCTTAGAAATCGGCGATTTCGGTTGCGGGGAAGGTCAATTAGCCCAAGCGGTGCCTCACAAAGTCTATTCCCTAGACTTGGTTAGCTGTCGTAACGATATAATCGCTTGTGACATGGTGCAAACTCCTTTGAAAACGCATTCGCTTGATGTGGCTGTTTATTGTCTCTCCCTTATGGGTACAAATTTGAACGAGTGCTTTCTGGAGGCCAATCGAGTTTTAAAAGTGAACGGTTTTATGTACATAGCGGAGATACAATCACGTTTTGATGATGTCACGCAATTCGTGCGACAATTAAGTGCATACGGCTTTGAGCTAATTAAACAGGACGTAGGGCAAAATACTTTTTATTTCTTTCAATTCAAGAAAACGCATAACATTGGCTTAGTGGCCAAAGTACCGCAAATTACTTTGAAGCCATGTTTGTACAAAAAGCGGTAATAATGGTAAACGAGTTTTTCCTGCTTTCAATAAAATGTACGATTAAATCAATAAATAATTTTGCTGTTCTTTTTTACAGGTGAAGCTAAATAATTCAAGATATCTTTTTGAATGTTCAAGCTGTAATTTATCTGCGAGTGAATCAATTCAGTAGCTACAGATTACTTTAAATTAAGATTTAATCGAGAAAAGCATAGAGACTAGACTTGGTGAGAAAAACTTTAATGATCCGACTCGCTTTTCTAGGAACTCTATAATTACGAGCTTTTCAATCCTCCCAGAGTCGTTTGCAGAAACCTAAATGATTTCTATCACTTAATCTCAATAACAGGCTCTTTAAAGTCTTTCACAACAGCTATCCTTAATGATACTGCATAGAAATGCTTTATTTTTATATATTCGTTACTGCCAGAGGGTATATTAAATTTGTCATATTATTTATAAATCGTGCAAGCGTACATGTCAAACTATACTAACTTGCAATCTTAACAGCTTACTGTGATTAGAAATTTAACTGCTATTATCGGTTGCATAAATGGCTGAGGGCTTCACTTGCAAATCAAATCTGTACCGGTTGTCAGTGTGCCTTTTTGTTAGATGTGTGCTAGATTTTATTAGTTTTTAATAATAATTAGTATAAGATTTACTTCTAAAAGCCAATTGAAGAAGTATGTGTTCGCCGCACACATTTAGCCGATTAAAACCCTTCTTAGCTTTGAAAATTTATAATTCAATCAATTTGCACCCTGTTCTAGTTATGGTTTGCGTCTTTGTTAGAATAGATATAACAGGGTTTCTTATATTCTCTAAATGCAAGAAAATGCATCATTTGTAAAAATTTGTTATTGTTGTTATTGTTAAGCAATAAGTTTTAAAAGAAAAGGAATTATTTCTAAGAAATATTAAAAACAATTGCAAAACAGCAGCCATTCTCGCCGGAATGTGATTAATTGAAAGGGCTATGCGAAAGGCAAAGTAATTGGGGCGAATATTAATTTTGGAATAAATAAAATTAATTAAGGTACATGACATTCAATTTTTCTTAAGAAACAGTGTCTGAGCGAACTTCGAATTTTGACAATTTAAAGGAGATGTAAATGAGCGAACTTCGAATTTTGACAATTTAAAGGAGAAGTAAATGAGCGAACTTTGAATTTTGACAATTTAAAGGAGAAGCAAATGAGCGAACTTCGAATTTCACTTTGTATACAATTAGCTAATAAGGCACTTAAGGAATTTTCAAAACATTGAGTTTTGTCTCATTGGCAAGTAAGTGAATGAAAAAATGCAACTTTTGACAAAGAAGAAAGGGTCTTCGCTTTTAATAAAAAAGTTTTCAATTATGAATGTTTATTTTTTTTCCTCTAACGTAACCGGGGATAATATAAGTAAAAGTATAAGTATAAGTATCAAAAATGTATAAATGCCGACGGCAATTTGCATTATAAATTTAACAGATTATTCCTTTTAAAAAGCTGCAATTTAACAGATTATTCAGATGTGCTTTTCTTTTTTAACAGATTATTCAGTTGGGCTTTGTTTAATTTGATAAAAAAATTATTTGATTAAAATTATTATAAATAATGAATTCTTTTCTCTTAAAGCGCCTGCATCAAAAAAAAACTCTACCGCACCTGAGATTTGAAACAAATTTCGTACAGTATAAATGGTGTAAAGCTTCTGCGATAAACTTTGCTCTTCCAAATGCAGTAAATGCGTCAAAATAATCTTTTGTTTGGGATCATAAGTTAAAGGAAAAACATCAAATATAATTAAATCATTTAAATTTTTTAATTTCATAATTCATTAATTAAAAATTGACTTCTTAGGAAAAGTAACCGGTATTACTACAAAAAAAAAAAAAAAAATCACTAATGATAATCGTACACTTGTTCATTGTTTCATTCCGATATTCGTCATAGTAATTATACTGAGCAGAGACCATAACAACTTTTTTCTTCTCGAAATATTTTAAGCAATCGAGAACCTTTGTAAGATATCTTTAAAAATGTAAAAATTTTGATTATAGACATTAAAGAGACATCATTTTTAGTTTTCACGAATGGTTTCCTTTATATATCCAATTTATTCAGATTACTAAATTTTTTTTTTTTTTTTTTTTAGCAATAATTGGCTTTAAATATGTGCGTATATAAGTATTATTTGCAGATTTAGTTGTGTCTCGAAAATTTTATTAAGACTCCGTGTTTCCTTTCCTAAGCCTAGTAACTGTTTGGGTTTGTTTTAATATTTCTAAATGTTGTAATAAAAGCCGTTAAGCTGCAATGTCGGTTATGTGGTCAACTTTCAGTCAGCAATTCAATGGGAGGATTATAAATGATTAACTAGAACAAATAATGGGATCATCAGCCTGACTGAGGCGTATCTACTACGAATTTGACCAAGATTTTTAATTTATTTGTCGCTAAGTTCAAAAATTAGCCAAATTTAGCTAAAAACAATGACATTATTTTTCTTCACGTTTTCTTCGATTTCTAAATTCCCAAAATACACTCAAAGAACAAGCATGGCATCACCCACATTTTGAAATTTGTTTCTTATTAAGAATTACAAGTGTTAATATACAGACAATCACTTTAACGGCAATCGTTGTTTATTATTTCATTCCGCTATTCCACACAGTAGAGATCATAATAACTTCTGTTTCGGAGCGAAATATCTTGAACAATGGAGAAATATGAGAATATACGCTTATTTTATAAAGTTCTACAATACATGCATAAAAAATGAGAACGAATATACGCTTATTTTATAAAGTTCTACAAAACATGCGAGAAGCTTTGCGAGAAACCTTTAAAATATAAACATTTTTTACTAATTTGTTCCGATGTATGAGGATTACTAACATTTCGAGTTTGTTTTAATAATTTGAATTGTTAGACGAACTTTTCTATCGAATTGATTGTAAGAAAAGCCGGAAGACTGCAACGGCCTGCTATGGGATCAAGCTTGATTCAATGAAGCAGTTTGACTTAGGATTTATATGTGATGGACAAATATATTCAGAATATATATTGACGAGATTTTTAATGTATGCCGTTATTTATGCCGTTAATTAGATCCATTAGTGCAAGTGCGATTTTCAAAACTATGGCTTCTTTTTTTCGTCACGTTTTTTTCCATTTGTATATTCTGAAATTATATCGGGGAATAGGCATGGATCAACTACAATTTGCAAAAAAAAATTCATTTTTGCAATTATTTATGAACTGCTACGAAAGCGTTCTATAACGTTCTATTTCAAATGTTGTCAACTAACGTTTTTGGGGCACGATTTATTTAAATAGTTGCGTTTTTTAGACGCACTTGTAAAAAAATGTAATATTTTATCTAAATATTTCAAAATTATAGATTGCTGTTGCAGGTGAAAAGATCCCTCACTAATTTGACTGCGTACTTGGCGGTGCCGGGAGCAGTCGTCACGTCGTAACCTCCATGGCCATAGTTATGTACATTTTAAAGCTTTTTACCATTTTCTTTTAGTCAAAAATTCGGCTTCTACCCGCACTACCGCACGGTGTGGACACAAACCTACCATTTCACGTATTACTTTAGCTTTTTTTAAGCTCGGAAGCGTGTTGTAGCATCGCTTCTTTATAGCCATAGAGAGTGAGGACAAATTTCAGTATTATAACTGTCAAATTGACGGGGATGTCATCCGTGTAACACGCAACCACGGAGAGGAGCGAAGAAAAGGAAAGAGATAGACATTTGGTGGCCGCAGCCTAGTGGCTGAATTTTTCCATTTTTTTACAGATGCTGCACATAGATGATAAATGGAAATTTTCATTGTTGTATTTGTTGCAGTTTATAACCGATGAGAAAGCCTTTCTTTTTTATTTTCAGAAACTGGGATGGTTTTCGATTATTTTCCTTTTATTTTTTCTTTCCCAGCCACTCGTCATGGAATTGTTTGCTTATCGCGACGACCCCGACGACTATCACGACTTGTCGTTCTTTAATCACACCGCCTGCCTTTGAAACAATCTACCAGCGGTGGTCCCTTCCTCTCTCTTTACCTACCCTCTCCATCACTCTCTGCCTGAAACCTTCATTGACCGCCATCATGTTCGCAGGTATAGTGGACCACCCCTGAATGGCCGCAAAAAACAAAAAAAAAAAAGAAGAACGGTGGTAGTGTCCTTTAAAGGATTTGGCTCAATTTCAAGAATTTCGAATGTTTCTGCAAAGGGTGAAGCCTTTTGCTGTATTTTTGCAACCAATACGATGTTTAACGTAGACATTACATGGAGAGGCAAACGACTAGACGGACATGCTTATATCAGTTCAGAAACTGCCTTAGAATCAAGTGATATTGCAAGAGATAGGTCAATTGCAAGTCCTGCTGACCGTTTTAGACATCCGTCTGCCCTGTTTGTAAAGGTACTGCAAAAAATTTGTTGCGGTTATCCTCCATGACGTTTTCAACGAAAATGGTTTGGGAAAAATGCATTTAAAGTTTCAATATGTGTTAGAGATTAGTTTTTTTCATTAGTCTGCGCTTTTTTTTATATTGTCTCTCAAAAGTATCCCAGCTTACACTTTACGTATAATGCAACGACAGAGGAATAGCAAAAATAAAAAGATTGCAACTCTATAGTTGACTACATAAGCGACTCCAAAAATATCTTTCCAAGCTTTCAATCTCTTGGTAGAAGCGCTACGAACTTTGAAGGATACTTCTACTTTAAGGTGGTTATACTTGCTGTTGGAAACGTTTCTAAATTGCAAGTAAACGCTTTCCGAAGACATCTGTTAGCGCATCAGATGTTAGGATCTAAATATATAGTAAATTTTGGAAATCTTAGCAAAGAGGCAATAAATTTTTGGCACATATTCTTCAAGGTTCATATTATCCATTAAGCCAATAAAAAACAGTCGGGCAAGGTCGACCATTCTATACCATATACCTTATACCATATTGTCTTACAAAATTCTTATTTTTATTATAAAACACAAAAATTATATCTTTTTACTATATAA